CACATCTCAATATTTCAGTCAACACAAGATCTCTTATAAAAATGCTAGAGATAGGACGTTTCTTTCTGGTACCTCCCCTACATAAAATTCAAGAATTTGAAATAAAAAACCCCTCAAAGAAAGTTGAATAAGCATGCATCATTATTGAAATTTCACACATACAAATACAGGGTGAGATAAAAACTGCAACAAATAATTTTTACATTTTTTTAATTGTATTGAATGAAAGCAAATAGTGTCGGAAAAGCACCAAATCTTAGAATAAGTTTAGATTTGTTCGAATTGGTCACCTTTGGTAGAAATTATGGCCTTCAAACCGCCAATGAAACTGTCACTTCCTGCCCGAATGTTGCTCTGCGGTATTTTGGCCCATTCCCGGCTAAGCGCTTGCTTGAGGTGATCAACACTTTGGTATTTTTTAGTGCCAACCTTGCTTTCCAAAATAGTCCAGACACAATAGTCCAACGGATGGCCATTGTGCGCTGAAAATGAAGCGAGGAACCTCATTTTGTAACCAGTCTTGGGTGGCGCGTGCTGAGTACGATGGTGCTGAGTCTTGTTGGAATGCCCAAGGTCTGCGGTCAAAATGTTTGCGTGCCAAGGCGTTAATACGCCCTCCAGAATATTTTCGCGATAATATTCGGCATTTATTCTGATGCCACGGTCAATTAATACGAGCGGAGAGCGACTATCGCCTGTTATGGCGGCCCACACCATCACCATGGTCGGCGCTTGAGTTCTGGTGGCCAACCGAAAGTGCACATTTTCAGCTGACCTCTTTGGCGATCATTTTGTTTGTTTACAAACAAAATTCGGCATTTCACCACTTTCGGCCAAGCGAAGCAATTCTTTAGCTCTTTTGAGTATATTTTCTTTCTATTGCGGTGTAAGTTCTTGCTGTTTTCTTCCGTCCACTTCCTTAACGTCAGGCTACGCTACAGTATCACGGTAACGAGCGATGTTACGAGACACAAAAGATTTATTCACAGCCGCTTGTGGTTTTCCAACCAAATATAAAGAAATCACACTATCACGCTTGAATTCCATCAACTTTTTTCTGGAAAATTCTCACCAAAAGGCTGTTGTACGCTTGTAAACAATATAATGAGTTATCACTGAAATAATTTTAACAGCTGTCGGACGAGTGGCGTGGAAATGACAGCAGTCAGTCTCAATTTCAATATTTCTGTTTTGAAAAAAACAACCATAGCATGTAATTACTACAGTGGTGTGTGTCCTAACTTAATCCATTGTATAGAGCAATGGCAGCAACCACAAATACAGTGTAATGACATAAACATGTGTTTCTTCACAAGTAGATGGCGTTACTCAAAAATATCATGTTATAAGAATAGTGACGTTTGACATTCCCGCTAAAATAATGAACATATATAGGGATAAGTAAGATGTTATGATCTGCAGATAATATGTGATATCTCTCCTATTTAACATTACATACAATGTTTTTTTTTATTTAGACAGACGTCGTTGCATTGCAATATATAATAAAACCAGTGGAAGAACAAGCTGTCTTATATATTTTAGCTGGTATGATTTAAAGGTGAGAATACATACAGGGTGAGATGAAAAAACTGCAAAAAAACTTCAGACTGCTCTCGTTTCTAAGCCATTCGTCCGACAGATGTTAAATTTATTCCAGTTTACAAGCATACAAAAGCATTTTGGTGAGAATTTTCCAGGAAAAAAGTTATTCGTGATGGAATTCAAGCGTGATGGTTTGATTTCTTTGTATTTGGCTGGAAAACCTCGTGGCTATCGTTAGAGCACTCCAGCATTTAAATGTAAATGAATCTTTTGTGTCTCGTACCATCGCTGGTCGCCTAGCCTGACGTCAAGGAAGTAGACTGAAGAAAATAGCAACATCAGCAGAAATGGTTCGAAAAGTAAGGAAGCAACTTAATCGAAACCCTCGTCGCAGTGGCCGAAAAATGGCTCGTGAGGTGAACATATCGCAATATTCCATTCGCCATTGAAATTCCAAAAAGTGCAAGAACTTACACCGAAACAGAAAGAAAATAGACTCAAAAGAGCTACAGAATTGCAAGGCTTGGCCGATTGTGGTGAACTCCGAATTTGGTTTTCTCCGATGAGAAAACATTCGTTGTCCAGCAGTTTGTAAACAAGCAAAATGATCGTGTTTAGTTGCCAAAAAGGTCAGCTGAAAATGTGCACATTCGGTTGGCCACCAAAACTCAAGCGCCGGCCATTGTGATGGTGTGGGCCGCCATAACAGCCGATGGTCGCGTCATTATAAATGCCGAATGTTATCGCTAAAATATTCTGGAGAGTGTATTAAAACTTGGGCACGCAAACATTTTGGCCGTAGACCTTGGACATTTGAACAGGACTCAGCACCATCCCAATCAGCACGCGCCACCCAAGAATAGTTACAAAATGAGGTTCCTCGCTTCATTTTCGCTTGTCTGGAGTATTTTGGAAAGCAAGGTTGGCACTAAAAAATACCAAAGCGTCGATCACCTCAAGCAAGCGTTTCGCCAGGAATGGGTCAAAATACCGCAGCGTGTGACGGTTTCATTAGCGGTTTGAAGACCATAATTTGTGTCAAATGTGACCAACTCGAACAAAACTAAACTTATTCTAAAATTTGATGATATTTCCGACATTTTTTGCTTTCATTCAATAAAATTTAAAAATAAATGCAAAAATTATGGCGTTTGACTTGTTGCATTTTTTTCTCACCCTGTACAACGCTTTTTTTGACTGGCTTGAGTCACCGGCTCGCTTCTGCGAAAAGAATAAAAGATTATAGGGACAAAATCGAACTAAGTCAACTTAAAACTCCTTTGTTCCTCTACGAAGAAGGCTTAAGCCAGTGAAAAAAAAAAAACAAATGACAGGACAGTTGAGTTCATGTATTAATTGACAAAATAACAAATTTTGTCTCTATGGAAGAATTTGACAATTGCAAAAATGACTTTTGGATGGTTGACTTTTCACCACAAATTTAATTTTTTATATATTTTTTAATAAGAGCAAAATGTATTCCAATAAAAAATGAATAACGCAACTCGTTTATTTTATATTGAAGAACTGAAATAAAGATTTATTCACGAAATTATTTACAAATTCGCTTAGTTTATTATATTTAAATTAAAATGAAGATGCCACTGTTAAAAAATGCATTGACTACCATTGACATTTACAAAAAGCTTGCCATATCTGTGAAAAAATGCCTTTATTTTAACAGATGTAATAATGAAAATCAGATAATTTGAACTTTATCTTTTACTTTACTTTCTAAAGTAAGAGATAACAAAACCGGACTGTAAAGAAAAAATAAAAAAACTGGCTATAGGCTACTTAGTAGGTGGGAGATAGAAAAGTGTGAATACTTAGAAAGCTTTTTAGACTGGCTTAAATGTGAGAATACATAAAACGCTTTTTGACTGGCTTAAGTTATCGGCTGGCTTCTTCGTAGAGGAACAAAAGAGTTTTATGTTTAATTAGTTCGATTTTGGCCCTACGCTCCTTTGCTCTTTTCCGAAGAAACCAGCCGAAGACTTTTTGCTCAATATGAAAGAGAATGACTTGTATAGTGTGGGGTTTCAACAAGACGGTACCATATGCCACAGCGTTCGAAGCACTGGACTTATTCAGAGACGAGTTCGGTAAACATATTATTTCTCAATCGGGACGGCCTGAAAGAGTATGCCAACATTTTATTGATATTTAATGTTTTTTTAATCTCCTTAGCAGATAAATAAAAGGCTTAAAAAGCCTTTAATATGCGAAATTTATAGCTAGAGGAGGAGTTTAAAATGGAAAATGAAAAATGGTGAATACATGACATGATTTTATTTGATTTTTTTTTGCAGAAGTCATCAGCTATCTTATTCGTTAAAGTTCAAAGGAATTAAGGGTGGGCGGAAATTGTACTAACCCAACCTAAACCCCTTGGTCCTTTTACGAAAAAGGTCAGCTAGTGATTTATAACAGGAAAAAGCATATGCATACAGGTAGGACTTTTGTTGCAACTTTCATTATTTCTGCTTCCTCATATTTACTGTCACGTGCTAATTTAACCGTTATAATTCAATTTTTGGTCGACTCACGTGGAATTGATGACTTTCCACTATCCACTTTGCATTACTAACCGTACTCTCCCTCTCCTCTCAATCCTTCTCTCATGAACACTTTTAAATCATCCTTCAAAGCTTAGCGAATATAATTGAACGGCGTTATAAATACAAACTTGATGCTATTTATTATCAAAGATTGAAAGCGCTGTGCGTTTTTAGATACGTGTTGATACGTACTAAATTAAAATATGTTTAAGTTCAATAGCTGTCATTGGCTGCCTCGAAGAACAATGGTTGGAAGTTGGTTTAGTCCATAATTAAAACCTATAGTGTCATTCTCTATCTCATTGTTTGAGTTACCGACAAAAGTAGGTAAAATTATGATGCTTGTAATTTCGGTAATTAACGAAACTTATCGGTAGATTTACCGATTTTCCAAAAGTCGTTAAATATTTTACGACAAAAAGCCATCCGATGTCTTATGCCAAAAAAAATTCTCCGATGTATTCTCACCTAAATGTATATATTTCTCTTAACCGATTAACCACATTTCAAATATACATTTGTTTGGGTTCATAAATTGTAAGACAATTTATTAACTGCGTTTTAGATATCTGGCCCGTCTAAAGGAGGGGATACAAAGTATTTATTGTCATCGGATTTTTCGTAAAAGAACAATGGAATTTTATGGTTACTTAGTTTAATTTCAGGCCATAAATAAAACTAGATCACCCTAATTCCATTCTTCCTTTACAAAAAATCCAGCCGGTGACATATGCTAGAAAAAATTATTCTATGTATTTTCACATTAAACGTTTGAATCGAGGAAAATATGTAGCATTAGCGTTTATTTTGTTAATTTTTCCATTGCCACAGAAAATAGACATAACGCCGTCATTGGTATCTCGCACACGCCGTCAAATGAAGTCTAACTCCAACTCTGTTCCATAACGACGTTGAAAAAATCACGCAAATCTGTTGTTGAAGTCGAATCAATTTTTGTGTGATTATTGCGGCCGACGACAAGAAAAAACGTCAATAATTCTTTTTGTTTTTGTAATAAAATCAAGGCAAACGCCAACATAAAAACTTAGGAAAGAAGAAATCAACGATTCGTAGGGCGTGAAAAACGATGAAAATTGTGTTATTTAAATTACCAAAAAAGGTCAAATGAACTAAAAAAGGAACCTCTTTGCGGAAAATTCCAATAAAAAAAGACGAAGAAGATGTTGCCCCAACTATTTGTTGTACAATAAATACGTGATTGCCAATCGATAAGTGAATAGTGTTTTAGGGACGCGGCGGTGCTCCTGTCGGGAAAGTTGTCAAAACGACGAACGATTTACAGGCAAAAATATTCGCATACAACATTTTCATACATCGGTCCGTAGTGTACCACCGTCAGTTCGTGTACTGTGTGCAGCACTGTGTGTGTTGTGTATGTGGCTCTCATTGCGTATACGTACTCTATGAAGAAATGGAAGCCTAGAAGAGGTGCTTCTGCTGCTGTTCTTACAACTGTTGTTTTTTTCGGTTCTTTCTTTATTAATTTTTGTTGTGTTACACAGCGAGTGTGACTCCCTTGCGCGATAATAGCCTCGAAAAGTCCAGCAAAGGAATACGGTTAACGAAGATCACCGCTTGAGACGCTATCATGAATCGGTATTAATCGGAGGATGTTTTGTTGATAACGAAAAAAACACGAAGAAGAACATGGACCACCAGTGGTAGTGGCCAATAATTTTGTAATTGTGCAACAAACAAACAATACAAAAAACAAAGTAAAGTCAGTGAAAGCTCTTTTGCAACTCCAGGATGATTTCTTTGCAATAATTGCCATTGGATCTGTTAAATGTAAAGAAGGTATGACGCCCATGTAATAAAATGTGTATTAAAAATTACCTTTTTTTATTTTTCTTACTAAAGTTGGATTTATAGGAAATTTGAAATTTGAATTGCTGAATATGAATGGAAATCTTCGTATATTTGTTATGATGTAAAATGTATACTATGTGATTTTGTTTCCTTGCCATCAGTTATCATATAAACTGCAAGTGTTCGGTTTTGGAGTGCGTTTTATGTGTCAACTAAAAATGCATGAATAATAGCGTGTACAAATCCAATATTCGGTGGAACCAGTAATATTTAATTAAAATATAATATTTATTTCAAAGTCGACGAAGTGGTGAGTCCTATAGAGAAAATGCAAGATGTATATCACTTAATGGGGATATAATAACTTATATACAGGGACATTTATAAGCCGCTGCTGTACCGCTGTAGTGTCCTCAACTTTCTATTTAAAACCAAATGGACAAATTATACATTAGAGAGCAATAAAGTTGGGCTTGCGGTTATAGCGATGAAAAATCTTCTGTATAGTCTATCCAGGTATGCTCGCGGCAACATAATGCGGTTGGTACTATAAGTCTGTGGATGGTACTTCATTTGATAATTAGGATACATATTCCTATATTTTGATATTTTTCTAACTCTAATAGGACGTGAGGTAGTTTAAGTGGATAATTGAAAGAGACGTCTCCTAGTGGAGTGGTTGTCAAAGATGGCAACTACGCTTCTTTTAAACTAACCTTCAAAGCACTGAAGTAACTCAATCAAGGTTTGTTCCTATTTCAGCTTTGTCCATGGACAATCTGTTATATTAAAAGTCTCAATATAAAGCAATGCAGGGCAGGATGAATATAGCAGCTGAAGCGGATGGGGAAGGACCTATACGTTATTATCCCTCAATATTTAGAGCTAAGGATCGCGGTTGTTATCATTACCGGCCACATTTATTTTAAATTTCTTATTTCTTAATAAGAAGTTGATCATTTACCAATGACAATTCTCTTCTTTCAAAATTTTCAGAGGTTCAAACTCTACCAACCCCAAATACATCGGTGGTGTATTCGATCTTACACTCAGGCCATAAAGGGATATAGGGAAACGGAAAAGGATATATTTTATTGATTTCCGAGAAATCTCCATATTTAAAAACTGCATATATAATTTGTCCATTTTAACCTGATGGAAAGCTTAACTTCAATGATGAATATTCAATTTCTGAATAGTCTGCTCCTGGATCAGGTATCAAAAATACTTTAAGGCTCGAGAAACAGAATTTGTGTAGGATCCTAAAACTTAAGCACATTGAAGACGAAAAGGAAATAGAATAATAACTAACGTGTATAGCTGCTAATTAAGGGAGGGTAGATAATTCACTCGGAGAACGTGGGTGCAGCATTCATAGATGAGCCTTAAACGATGCAATCAATCCCTACATTCCCATAGGAAGGAAAGATGTTGGACATAATATGATAATGAGACATAATATGATTTAACTTTATTTTCCTAATTTTCATTATCAATTTTTCTACTTTAATACACTTACATTACCTAACACTTGTTCTATCTTTACAGAGTCACCAATGTTGTTTCTGGAATTGTATTACGTAAAATCAAAACCATCTCAACTAATGTCGCCAAAAATTCAGCGTTGTATGCATAGATTTTCCTAGGATAAAACGACTTTTACAACCTCCAGCCGTAACAGGTCTATATAAACGGGGCACATTCAAAATTAAACACGTCTCTTCTCTACAGAGAATGTTTACACCCATAAAAAACTTCATAACTTATATACAAAAGAATGCAAATTTTGGATCGAATACAACGTCAGCTAGTAGTGAAGAAAATAAAAAACAAACGATGGAAACTAACGATAAACTAAATTTACAAATCGCCGAAAATGGACAAAACTTTGAGGAGGGAGGAAATCTAACTACTACAGATGGAACGAAGTCCATAAATGGAGGATTAAGCTCAGTTATGGCTTCTTCATTAACATCAGAAACCAACACGGAATCAAACTCAGCAAGATCATCGCTTAATGGGAACATGGACAGCTTAAGAGTAGATAGTGAGGAATATGAAGATGACGATGACATTGAGTCACAAATAGAAAGTAGTATTATGATAAAGAAGCCAGTAAAAGATGGCAGCAATAAAAATAGTGAAATACTCGAAGTTAAGAAATCACCGGATCGTAGTATTGTCATTAGCCATGATTGTGGTCCTCGTTCAATGGTCGTGGCATCACCAATTGATGATGAGTTGGATGATTTTCGACATGCTCCCTCAGAAGTGATAACATCGTCACCACTTAATAATCATGGCGATGGTGAAGTAGAAATTATTTCTTCCTCCAATGATAAGAATAAAAGCAGTTGTAAAGTAATGCTAGAAAGTAGTAATGGCCATCACAGCCAAGTCGAAGAAGAAGAAGTAGAGTATAATACATGCGACAGAAATGGAAAAGACAATACACAAGACTCCATAATAATCTCGGACTCAAGTGGCAGTGAGAAATTAAATGGAAGTGATGGAAAAATTGTCCTAATAGATTCCGAGTTTGAAGATGTGGAGGAGAGAGTGGAAACTTTGTATTCCGTTTCGGCAGATGAAGTGGATATTGATGAAGAGGATGACTCAGATGAGACATTCTTAGATATGGATCAATTTCCAGGTAAGTGTTAAGTCCACGATGTTCAACCTAATTGTTTTTATGGTACCTCCCTATATTCTGTATTTCTATAATTTTTTTTTCAATATTGTAATGGCTAATGACAAAAGTTGCCTATGCAGGTCCACGGCTACATTTTTAAGACTTTAACAGAGTTTTTAACGAATTTTATTCTGCAATATCAAAAAATCCTTTTAAAGAATATATACTTTGAAAAAACTTGTAAAAATTTTTTTTTGATAAACCCAACTTGACAGGTTTCTAAAAAATACTTTTCTTTTCAAATCGTTTTTCAGACGGTGAGGTTATTGTCATCAGTGAAAATACGGAAGATAATACCGATATAATGCCAATAGAATCCTCAGATGCTGCCAATACAAGTGATGATCCCCTAGCCATTGCCTGTGATGAAGTGGAAGCTTTTGCTGCTGATAAAATTACAGCATTGCAAGAACTGCATTTACTCAATAATTCGGCAAATTCTCAAGATGAAGATACAACAACTACAACAACAACGGCGGATGATGAGATACTTTGGCTACGAAGTGATAAATTGATTACAACAACGGCAACAGCGGTAAAGCGTAGCAATGAGCAACCGACGTGTAGCAAAAATGCAATTCTCATTTTGTCGAATGGACAAAATGCTGCAACACCCGAGAAAGAGGAACGCAATGGTGAAGGTTCCGATTCAGGTTTGGGTAGTGAAACTTCAGCACTACATACCACAAATACCAGCATTGTCGATACTAGCCATTTAAACATGACCTCATCAGTAGTGACCACACCCGTCACATCTCCCAACAGCCGGTTGCCTCCTAAAACTAAGGAAAAAGACATCAGCAGTGAAGTGATAAAAACCACACCCACCAAACCATTGCGCTCGAATTTGAAACGACGTTTGGAAGTGGATCATGATGATGTTGTGGACACCCTAAGGAATATCGCAACGTCAAGTACAAGCACCTCATCGATGGGAGGAAATGCAAATAAAAAACCAAAGCGTTCGATTAACTTCGATACGGTACAAGTCTATTATTTTCCTCGACAACAAGGTTTTAGTTGTGTGCCTTCGGCAGGCGGTTGTACTCTGGGCATGGGTGCACGACATGTGGGCTTTAAGACACTCACGCTGGCGGAACACGCTGCCGAACTGAGACGTGCCCATCGTATGCAGCTACAAGAAATCAATCCCCGTGGATCTTCCAGTGATGACAGTGAAGAATCGGAAGAGGACTATCTCAGTGAGGGAAGTGGTTCTGATCTTGACGGGGAATCGAATGGTTTCCTTCAACCTGTTTCGCCCAAGCAAAGAAGGACCATTTTAAAAGCAGCCGGTATACGGAAAATAGATCCTAGCGAAAAGGCCGAGTGTCGTGATATACGCAACAGTCGAGAGGTATGTGGCTGTTCGTGTCGAGAATTTTGCGATCCCGAAACATGTGCATGTTCACAATCTGGCATCAAATGTCAAGTTGATCGTGATATGTTTCCCTGTGGTTGTACAAGAGATGCCTGTGGCAATACAATTGGTCGGGTTGAATTTAATCCAGCTCGAGTGCGAACCCACTTCATACACACTCTGATGAGACTGGAAATGGAGAATCGACAACAACAAAATCCCTATACACCTGCTGGTGCCGTTATACCCACAGCCACAGTAAATTCGTCTTCGTATTACCAGTCACATTTGCAGCCACAATCAAATTATAGTTCAGGTTATGCATCACCTGCTTATAATCCCGGTGCAGATATGCATCAACAAAATGCTGCCAATACATTCTATCATCATCAACAACCTACAACCTCGACAAGTGCACTGTATGGTGGTGGCGGTGGTGGAACATCACTGGAAATGTCCCATGCGGCATCATCTTCCACAGCATCGTATGGCATGGATAATATGGACAGTAGTGGCATATTCAATGGCGCGGGATCGAATGTCACACCCTCATATGGAGAATTAATGCCAGTGGCATCTTATCATCCCCATCACACCATGAACTATGGAAACGTCCAGGAAACACAGGTATGAGTAAAAACCATCGGGAAACTTGTAATATTTTGTGTCCAAGGTATTGGAAATGCCTTTTTTTCTTGATTTTTGGTTTCATTCATTGATATCTTCATGTATTTTATTTAAAGCTATTTCATTACACAAACTATCCTTGGAGTGACAGTTGATAGATATTAAAGTACAAATTTGTAAATATTTATCAGTATTAAGATGTTAATGTCCCATATTTGGGATTATCCTTGCTGTAAACTAAAAACGTCTTCATGCGATTATTAAATTGTAAGTGTTTTTTTTTATCTCTTTTATTGCAATGCTACGTTTTCTAATAATTTGTTAAGAAATTTCTTATTAACATTTTTTAAATATAACATAATGGAGAGAGCATCGAGTTCATTCAAAATTAGAAATTAATAGCCAAGTCTCAATAGATTCTAAAGGTAATATTGACATTTATAAGATGATTCCCTTGATGCTCTGAATTTTATAGCGAATATAAGCTTATTTTTGGACAAAGACCATTTTTGTTTACTTTACTACTTGACTGGAGAAATCTGGAACAGCTGATGTAAAAACAATAGATGTTGTATTCCTTTCTGCTAATCTGATTATATCTGCTACCTTCACAATTGAAGAGGTGCATTGTATTTTGCGGACTAGTATTGTAGATTGGACCAGCATTTCGCAAATCTTCATCAATTCGGCCAACACGAATTGAGACGACTGACTGCACTGTCCTTAATGCAGTTGGGTCAAAACTACCCTGATTTGTCGGGTATCCGACGTTCTTCAGCTCCAATGGATGGAGGTGGGCGAGGACGACATTCATGCTATAGGTATTAATGACATCATCATCTTAAGCTCTTTTGAGTCTTTTCTTTCAGTTGCGGTGTAAGTTCTTACACTTTTTCGAATTTCAATGGCTTTATACCGAGCTCATTTTTCAATATTTACCGAATGAAATATTGCGATATGTTCAGCCCACGAGCCATTTTTCGGCCACTGCGACTCGGGTTTCGATCAAATCGCTTCTTTACTTTTCGAACCATTTCTGCTGATAGCCACTTGTGGTTTTCGAGCCAAATATAAAGAAATCACACTACCACGCTTAAATTCCATCACGAATTACTTTTTTCTTGAAAATTCCCACCAAAATACTTTTGAACGCTTGTAAACAATATAATATGAATGAGGAATAATTTAGCAGCTATCGGACGAGCGACTTAGAAATGACAGCAGTGTGAAGTTGGTTGCAGTTTTTTTCATCTCACCTTGTAGGATATGTCCCCTAAAACTGTAATATTCATTCGATAACCATATATGATATTCGTACATGTTATCAAATTTGCCATATTTTATTAAGATAGGTTCAGATTTGCATATAAATCAACTTCCGACTAGCCTTAAGTCCGTCAAAATATCCAGACGAAGGATTTGTGTCCACGTTAGGGCTCCTCACAATACATTTCTGCCTTTGCATTTTTTTCATGTTGTATAATAATTATGGATTTTTTTCCACTTAACAACTGCGGTTGCCAATTTACCAATTTAGGTTTCTATTGTGAGAGAAAAACCTTTTTCGCCCGAGTGTGTTATATAAGTACTGGGGTCAACTGCACCTAATGGTCCGCCCATTTCGAAGTTCCCATTAATCCAATTGCTGCGACGATACTTTTAGTCATCAATTTATCAGAACTTTGCCCTTAAGAAGGCAAAAGTGTTCTTTATGTAGAGGAAATTGTGTATCAAAACATCAATAAAGTTTTTGACAGATGTCTCTCTCAAAACCTATTATAGTCTTAAAATGTGCTCTGATATGGACGTTGTTTGGCTTATGTCTACTAATGTTTAATTAACAGTTCAATTGAGAAGAATTGGTTCAGAAAGATTTATAGCTCAGTATTTTCGTATCATACACTAAATTTCTGTTAGATAAAGAGTATACAGTTATATTTTTTATAGTCAATCAATGTTTCAATTTTTATAGTCATTAATGTTTCAGGGTGGTTGAATTTTTTATATACAGTTTAACAAGTTATGTACGTAATGTGAGTTAAATGAAAAGTATTTCCATTTTTCCGCAAAGGCTTCGCTAAAAAGCAAATCTGTTTCTTTTAAATTGTCATTAAACCCTTTCATTGTATTTCTTATACTTACAGATGTCCGGCTACAATTCCTATAACAACAACAACACCACACCATATATAAATACAAATGTCAGCACAAATCTGAATAACACTCCAACAAGTTATAGTTCGTGTTCGGTACCATCCTTACCACCCTATGGCACCGCAACAACTACGGAAGCTTCAGCCACTTATCATCATAGTGTTGGCAGCCTAACAACTTTGGGAACCACAACAACAGCGCAATCCTATGTCAAGGCTGGCGCCGAGACCACAACGCCGCCAATGTACAATGATGATGTTGGAACAAGTTTTATCGATCTAACAACACCCTTGGCAAGTTCCTCGAGATTAACGCAGCAAATTAATGATTTATTAGAGAATAATCGTAATAATAGCACAGCATTAGTGGCAGTGACACAAAGTACTGATGAAACAGGCAGTTCCGCTAAAAATGCTGGCGTGGCACATTTGAATGGCATTTGTGAGGTGGGAGCAAATCCAGCAGCAACATTGTCATCAAATCAGGCTGAAACGACATCACTTAATACACCACCCATGGAAGAGGTTAATAAAACATGTGTTTATGACAATTTACAAACGGCAATGCCTCCCTTGAAGCCGGCACCAATTGTGGTTGAGGACATTATTGAAGCTGGGCCAGAAAAATTACCTGCTCCACCACCACCACCAGCATCACGTCAAGTATTAACACCAGCACCATCATTGGAGGAACAAAAACATCAACCAGAAACTCCAGTTTCAATGGATAATGCTACAAATGACATTTGCACCACTTCTACCACTACAGCTAATACAGAACCAATGATAAATTTAGCCACAGCAGTAGTTTCAACAGCGGAAAAGCCAGAGGAAGAGGTAAAAGAGCTGGAAGAAGAAAAAATGGATACAACGGGAACAACAACAGAGACATCGGCTGAAAGCAATGATATAAATGTTACGACTGAAACAACAACAGCAGAAATAGAAAATGTAGACGAATCCCCCGCCGCTGCCGCTGCATCACCAGCAGACATTACACCATCACCAACGTCAACCATTGAAGTTGCTGTGGCCGTTGGTAATTAAAGTTTTCCAAACTGCAATGCAAGTTTGAAAGTTTCTTTTCAATTTAACTACTACCCCACTCCCCAAAAAATATGAATAAGTCATTCTAGTGCTAATAGCAAGAACAAATAACCAAGCAACCACTAAACGAGGAAGATATGATTAATAAAAACAAACTGAGAAGAATAAATGAAGCAAAGTATTTAGTTAAGTTCCAATTTTTAATTTTTAAGCCTTAAGCGTGTTAAAACAAGTAGCTACTAAAGAAATGGCAAAACAAACAACAACAACCCCTTCCTCTCATATATAAATGTAAAACACTTAAACTCACACTCACACACACACATACATAAACAATTCAAGCAAAATAATCAAACCAATCAACATTTCTAGCATTAATTTTCAATTATATATTCTAAAAGAAAGATGAACAAAAAAAAAAAAAAACAAAATTCAAATCAAAGACACAGTGACTCAAAAACATAAGTAATAATGTAGTGTGTTCAAACTCACACACACTAAAAACCACAAACCTACACATCTTTTAGATAAAATACATTATGTGAAGACAGTGTTTGGGAAAACCGTTTAAAAAAGAAATAGTGTGAAAATGGAAGATATTTAGTTTTTTTAGATATTTTTATTTAGTTTTTTTTTTTTTTTTTTTTCATATTAACATGGTTATTACTATTTAAATAATTGTCCACTTTTTAATATGATTTTTGGAACTTCTTTCTCTAATGGCAATTTTATTGAAATTACTCCTCAACGAATTGCCTGTTTTTATATGACGTTTCAAAAGTTAACTTGAAAAATATCCATTCCTTGTATGTTTTTAAAATTGTAGAATTTTATTCGTTTTAAAAAAATTCTATTGGAATGGGTTTTTTTCTTTTGAACTCAATTTCGTATCGTCATACAGGAGCAGACACTTAATACCAATGACTTCAACGAGTTTCCAAATTTCAGTGGTAATAACCTTTGGCTGTATAAAATGTTTTTTGTTTTGTTTTTTCTTTTTTTCCACTAGAATTAATCAAGTTGTAGAATTTGTTATGTAAACAACAATCTCCACCACAACCACATCCCAATAATTGTAAATAGTTGTATTAATTGGATGTTGCGTTGGTAGATAGACAAAAAAAAACATGATTTTCTTTAAATTCAGTTCGTATAACTTAACGCCTTTTAATAAGATTCTGTCTATATTTAATTTAATAGAATTTATTGCCAAATCTAAATTTATTTAAATCGCTTATTTTTTGCATTTAAAATTCAATAATAAAAGCAAAATGTTGAAAATAGAGAGAGAAAGAACTTTATAATTTTTTTTTTCTCGTGAGGATTGTATTACTTCATTTACAAAGCAAGACCAGTTGTAATTAGCGTCCGATAACCTCTTGTGGCAAGTTTTCGATATCCTCGAAAAATGTGTTGGAGGAAGATAAGATAGTAAAATAAAGAACAGGATATGCATTGTCCTTAGCTGAGAAAGAACTCAGAGGTCTCAGGACTCATTTGGTATCAAACAAATTTCGATTACAATGTCAGCGTCTGATAGCCTCTTCGAAATAGGTATTGGAAGGATTATATATCTCCTTCCAATACCTAATTTGAAGATGTAAAGCAAAGAACAGGATATGCATTGTCCTTCGCTGAAAAATAACTCAGGGGCCTCAGGACTCATTGGTACAAACAAATTTCGATCACAATGAAGTTTTATGACAATTTTGGTTTGATTAAATTGAAACGACATATTGAATATTGCTCGAGTTAAACACAAGTTGTTTGACCAAAATATGCATTTTTATAAACCTAAAAAGAATATACAGAAATTCATTTCGATCGAAGTTTCCTCGATTTCGATAAAAAGAATTTAGCCACAGGTCGTTTAGAATTGTAAATTCGTATTCTGTTCTCTTTAACAGCCGTAGCAGGACCATTAATACTTTTACATTTTTCCCAGTCCTCATTGTTCACAGGTAAAGGATTATTTTCTGCTTTTTCTAACTTATTATCTATTTAAAACAATGTCGGGATATAGAATTCTCTCTTATGTGGCACCGAAGTAGGGGGGGGGGGGGGGGGAAGGGTCAAAGGTCCGGGGCACCTCTAACATGGTAAATTTTTGGAACATTTCAGATGAAAATCCCATTTTTGTCGTTTGGCCCCGAAATGAAAATTATTTCTGGCTACGTCGGTGTTCTGAGTTTCTTATTTACTCCTCAACTATTTGCCTCATTCTCAATAAAGAAACAACTTGACATTTTCCATGAATTCACTCGAATTTGAATCCAATAAACTTAGACTTAGCTTTTACCATTGTACAATAAGGAGGTACAACTACTTCGTAAAATTACAGAAATGCAGCCCTGAGGCTATGCCCGCTTCCTGTCAAATTCACATGCAACAAGTTGTTTTTACTTATTCAATATTTTTCCTCCTTTTTTTAAATGAATTTAAATTGAATAGCGCGGAAAATGAATAAAATGTCTGTATTTTCTTTCAAAAATATTAATTCAAACAGTTCGATCTTTCAATTCCATGGCAAAACTAGCGAATAGCATTAACCCGCGTCCCGCTATATATCTTGTTTTTATTTTCCAAAACAACAAATACATACTCAAAATTGGCCAGAGTCGGGCACACTTAGAAAAAAATTGTAATCAGCTGGTAGCTCTACCTTACCTTTTTATTGTACCATGGTTTTTACAATATTGCGGTTTGACTATCTTTGAATCACAATTATGTATCTTGACAGCAAACTAAGTTTTCTTGTCAGATGGACATAGTGGCCAACCATTTTATGTAGGCCGTGGATTTGATTCTCTTTGAATTTCAAATCGCACATGTCCTTTGATAGAGAACTTAGATGTCTCATGGGCTTACTGGCCAACTTATATAGGCCATGGTTTAATCTTTTCTATTCCGTTTTTTGTTAAAATTTCAATGATTTCCATGAGTACTCTCTCTGTCTCTCTCTTTCCACCATTTGTGTTTATTTTACTTACTCCTCAATGAGAATTTTTTTAATTTAAGTTTTTTTAGCTATTTATAATTTAATCTTGAAAATGTTGATTGAAATGATAAAAACCAAAATTTATATAAGTAACATTGAGGTCCAATTTTAAATTTGTCGCGCAAACTTTTGTATATTATTTTGTTATAATTATATCTAAGAGACCTAATAAAATTGGGTCCTTTTATAAAAAAGTTGAATGTTGGGAAATTACACTAAGACATGGGACTGGACTCTTGTTCTATGAAATGAAAAAAATTCCTTTATATATCGATATCCCACAATTTCGATCGAAATAAGATTTAATCACCCTTATCGCGTAACAAATTTTCCCAAAAAAAAAAAATTCACCATTCCCAAAAATGCAATCATGTACTTTTTTTCACAAAAGTTCACAAAAAGAAATTATAATTATATTAATTTTGGGAATGGGGATTCACAATTGACATGCGAACAAATATTCACAATTTCTACGCGATAAGGGTGAATATCTCTATTTTAGCTTGATTTACCTGAAAATTTTCAGCTGAAACAGCTAAATATAGGATGTTATAGTTAAACACCAGTTCTTTTCCCACCAAAATTTGTATTTTTAGTAATTTTTCATTTTAAATGACAAAAAATAAAAATTTTGGTGGAAAAAAAAACAGATGTATAACTCTAACATTCTATATTTAGCTGTTTTATACAGAAATTAATTTCGATCGAAATTCTTTCAATATCAAATGCAAGAATTTGGCACCTGGTTGTATTTATCAAAATTTTCTATTTAATCAAGCTAAAATGTTCGTATTTATATCAATTTCGATTAAAGTTTGTTCGATAATCGAATACAAGAAATTTGACCCCAGATGATTTTCTTTAAAAACTGTTTTTAAAATGAACCCAAATGCCCACGCCACGAAGATAATGGACCTAAAAGAGGCTTCATATGCCATCCCCTCCATTTACAATAGAAACTTTCATTTTCTTCTTTCTGCAATGAAAAGAGGACACAAAATTGAAAGGTTGCTGGATTTTGTTACTAAATTTAAAATAATCTAATTATAAACCGTTTAAATTCCTCATTGTTTTCCATAAAATAAAAACTCAAACTAATGTCGGTATTATCTTTTTATTTTTGTTAAATTAAAAATTATACTCACCTTTCGTTATATAAAAGCTTAAAAGATAAGAATTCCCTCTTATTATTTTCAATGTTAAATATAACTTTATTAATTGTTTTACTTTGCCACTTTATTTTTTTTTTTTTTAATTTTTATTTCCTCCCACAATGTTTTTCTTCAAATGTTTTTTTCTTTTCATTATTATTATTTTTCTTCCTTTGTACTGGAATATATTACCTAGTTTTCCACAATATTTTTTATTATTAATTATAGTTGAGAAAAAAAACCAAGATTATTTCTTGTTTATCTTATTAATAATTTCATTATTAAGAGAATTTCTTGTTTCCAATTTTCCATTAAAAGAAACAAAAACAAAATGATATACTAAACACCAACACACAGTTTACATCATACATGAAAATAGGAAATGAAAACACACACTAACACGTACATATATTATTTATAGAAATTATTATAAAAAAAATATAATAACAAAAAACAAATGTAATTCGTAACAAAAAATGCATAACAACAACCACAACAACAACATGAATATTTGTAGTTTATAGACATAAAATATTATATATAAATTAGTAATTAAATCAAATTATAATTTATTTAATTTTTAAAACAAAAAGAAAAAATAAATACAAAACACACAAAAAAAATTATACCGAAAAATAATATTTGGAAATTTAAAGAAAAATCAAAGCGTTTTTATTATAGTTGAAAATGGTGTGGGGACACATCATACATCGGGTGCAAATGAACAATGGTGCCCAGTCGATTGATCTACCGACTGATGAAACTCCTTCCCCAGCAAAAAGCTATTTCCAAAAATCTTCGTCAATGAAGCTGAAGTTTGATTTAAAAATCGCGGTAAGTATGCCTGGATGACTGGCCACCGCAGTATCAAACATCTGATCTCAAGATGGGATAACAGTGTTCCCGACCTCTGTATACAATGTGAAGGTAAAGAAAAGGTAGAGACGATTGGACACACACCATGTAGATATCCCATGTTATTAAACAGGAGACAAACACTATTTAGTGGGTGACATGTTAAGACATTCTTTTCAGACATAGATCCCATCAACTTGCTAAAAGTATTCCCTGGCTAAGCAGACCGTCCTGCTAACTGTATTTCTCTTTATAAACATACATTTCTCGTTGCTATATCTCTTCTATCACCAACAACTTTACTCTTCATAAGATGAACACAATGGCCAAAAGTCTCCGAATAATAAGACAGTATTTTGCAAAATCTAACAACAATATCCACTCCACCTGTAGACTCTCAAAAGCTGATCCAAGATCTACGTTTAGCCTTCTTTAACTCTCTTTTGTATTTATTGAAGTCTGCTTTATAGGCATGCCAATCAGAAATAAGCTCAGTAAGGTGGGACCTGATTTTCCTTGCTGTTTCCCGAAGAATAGCAAGGTCCTTAGTCCACCCAACTGATTTAGATTTCCCAGGTTAGGTGATTTCTCGACATCGTTGGTTGATTTCAGATCTCAAAGCCCAAAGTTGGGAGGGGAATTTGGTCGTTTTCAATGCTGCTTCCTTCAGGGAGGCTGGCAACCCAGCAAACATGATACTTTTATGTCCAATCGCTGTAGCCTTCGATGTAGTTGACGCTCTCCTGGCCTTCAGTTGTTTTACCATATTCTTCGTTTTAACGGATTGCGTTGGGTTCGGGCTAGACAGAACTAATTTCGAGATGCAGATGCAGATTTTTTTATGGTCTGCTGCTTCGAAGGCTTAATATCAGACGCACCTTCCCTTACTTTGAGGGCGGTACATCCGGCTCAGTTACATCAGAGGCCTTTATGCAAGGCTTCTTTGTTACAGTTTCCTTCGACGCCACTTTTCCAGATGAGCAGTGGTTAATCGCAGTCATCGCTTTTTTTTGGGTCCACGACCTCGTTCTACATGTGGGTATCCTGCTTATCGGGAGTTACCTTAATGTTGCGTTGGGATACATCCTCTCGAATTTCTTAACGAGCTTCAGTTTCGTCGCGATAAGCTGCAGCTCTAAAAAGTGCGCTTTGACGGATCCCCATTGTTGCTCGCCGATCTGTTTTTTTATTCCTCATCTCCTTAAATTTAGCGCTCTTGGTGTCGGGAGAGCTCAGAAGCAAATTCATTTAACCTCCTTCTACTTCAATGACCTCCTGCCTTGAGAGTATGGGCTTGGGCTTCCCGACGATTTTGTTTCGGAGAGAGCCCCTGAATAGAAGTTAAGGCATAGGGGGTTTCCCAGAAGTCTACAGGTATGCTTTCCTTATTCAGCCGTTACGGACCCATATCCGCAATAATTTGTCGGATTCCTGCTTTCAGGCTACACTATTGTTTATTAGGGCCAGAGTTAGAGCATTGTGGTTATGCTTTTATAATTATTCTTTCATTTGCCATCGTCGTCATGAAGGGACTGAGGTGGCTGTGGTCTCCTGAAGCTCCGTTATAATACAATATGCAAACCTGTTACACGTGGTCGCCTAACCCCTCTCCCGCTGCTTTAGGCGGTCCTCTTTATGTGGGGACCAACACAGAGGTCTGGCTAGTTTAGGGCCGCCTCATCGGTCTAAGGATCATTTGCACTCGGGTATTTAAGCCGAGACTCTCCGCCCAGACTGTCAATCAGCAGCTACCCAGTATGTCTACTGGGCTTTTCACTATCCGCAACCTGTGGACGCGTCCAAGAGCATTCAGCTATGCTCTATTTCCAATAGGGTCACAATCTATTCCATGTGGAATCAAGTTCCACTTCAAGTTCCCGATGCTAACTGGGCATGGGGAATGGGAGTATTTTTTATACTAGCTTTTGCTTGTGTCGTCGTTTGAGTTAATGTAAAACCTTAGAAAACAATTCAACTCTTAGTAACGTGTTCCATCTAACATTCGGAAAAAAACTCTTCCCACCAAAATATAGAGGAGATTTGTTCCATGGATTGTATTGAATCCGGTGTAAAATAAAATAAAACTTTCATAGGCTAAATCGGACTGAATAATGTGTTTGCTTTAGCCACCCAATCCTTTCTTAACAAGTTGGTTCCCATTTTTTCCTCACAAAAACAGTAGTTTTTTTATCAAAAAGAAAAAAAACAATAGCATCTTTATTTGAAAAATATTACAACTAAATGTGAAAATTCTTTCTATATACACTTGTGCATACATGATGATCCGGTTAAACCCAATTTATAAGATATTTCCCGGTGATTAATCCTCTGGAAAAACCACACCAATTTGCTTGCGAATTTCATCTTCAATTTGTGCAAACAGCAGACTATCGTTGTGGCTAACATTTTCATTTTGTAATTTACCCTCAAGAATGCTTTGGCGTGCAGCTTCGGCCTCATAACGTAGACCCTCAGAGTTTTGATATACGGTGTTCAATTTTCCCTTGGGCAGAACCCATTCTTTCTCTTGGCCATCGATGTCAATAATTTTGGTGGGGCACCAGAATTGTAAAAGCTTAAAAAATAAAATGAATAGGTAAGTAAAAAGTTAAACATCCAGGTATCATATTCAAAATTACCGTTATTTGACCTTTGCTGCCCTTGATGACAGCCTTATTATCCAATTGCTTTTTGGCACTTGTGTGCATTTTTGATTTCCTTTTGCCGGAATATATCAATTCCGCCTCCACATCTACGTCAACACCTTCGGAATTCAGTTCACCTTTGGCCACAATTTGTTGAGGTGGTTCCTGGAATGCCCATTGCGACACTTGTATGGTATAAATACCCAAATCAAGAACAGTACCGCCACCCATATCCTTTTTCCTATAACGAAAATTATAATATAATTTAAAACATAAAATATTATTATAAATATATAAATCTCCAAATATATTTACTTTAGTCTATCCACATCTTCAAGCTGAAAGCCAAAGGATACTTCAACTTCTTGTATTTCTCCAAGCACACCAGAAGCAATTTGTTTCTTCACATACTGATAGGCTGGGAAAAATCTCGACCATACCGCTTCCATAAGGAATAGCTTCTTAATTTCAGCATATTGTATTAATTTCTTGGCCTGTTTGTGATTCAAACATAATGGTTTTTCACACAGAATATGTTTGCCGTTCTCCAACATTAACATGCATATATCAAAGTGTTGAGGATTCAGGGCGCCAACATAGACAATGTCTAAATAAGAGGAGAAATGAAACGACATTATTATTCTAAGCTTACACATTAAAAATTAATGAATTAATTTGGACTTAGAAAAGACCGATATTTTAAATATAAAAAGAGAATGACCATGGTCCATGGTCTTTATCAGGTCGAAAAGCATTATTGTGAAAATAATCTGAACCGATTTCAATATAATTTGCCTAACAATTTTTTTAGACAAACTCCATCACACACGACATGAAATCGGTCGTAAACATACATGGAGCTATACCCAAATCTGAACTGATTTCAATATAATTTTGCGAATTTATTTTTCCTAATTCCATTACGCATTTCAAATTTGGAAACAATCAATAGATATGTGCATATAAGATCTAAATATTTGGCAGGTAGCTCCGATTCAGATGCTATATCTCCAGTTCCCAGTGGAATTTCAACAAGTTAAAAAAAAAAGTAAGTTCGGCCTGGACGAACTTTGACTTCCCTTCGCTATTTGAACGAATTTAAAAATTTTCAAAAAATAAAATCTGTTAAAATTTCTGTTAAAATCTTAAAAATACAGAATATAGCCGTTATATTGGGGTCTATACAGATTGTTGTCATAAGCCATTACCATATTCAAATTCGAAACTTTAAATAAACGGTGAACAATGTAGCTAAAATCGTTACATCGGAGCTATAGAAGATCTGGGCTTGCATAGACAATTTTCTGTTACTGCCTGTAGCATTCATTACGAACTTCAAATATGACATCTCAAACAATTCCGGTGAATATTGTACCTAAAATCGTCAAAATACCGAATATAGGGAGGTACTGATATATGGGGCCTATACGAAGACCTGGACCTGCATAGACAACTTTCTGTCTTAGGCTGTAGTATCCCTTTGGAACTTCAAATACCAAATTTGAAATAATTCCGGTGAATAATGTCGCTAAAATCATCAATACACCGAATATAGGGAGGTACAGTTATATGGGGGTTATACGAAGACGTGGACCTGCACAGACAATTTTCTGTCATAGGCTGTATTATCCCTTTGGAACTTCAAATACCAAGTTTGAAACAATTCCGTTGAATAATATCGCTAAAATCATCAAAATACCGAATATCGGGAGGTAAGTACACATTTACGAACTTAACCCGCCTACTGGAAAAATAAACATGTCTGCAAAATTTTAGCCTTCTATCTCGATTCGTTCGAAAGATAGCGTGATTACAACATACAGACAGACGGACGGGCAATCGGCTTAGAATTTTACGCTGATCAAGAATATTTGTTGGGTCTTACATGAGTATTTCGAGGAGTAAAAAACAGAATGACAAAGTTAATATACCCTACATAGCATGGTGTAGGGTATAAAAATGTATATAGCTTATGTTCCTTTCAGGCGATGTTGTATACTTGGAAATCTTCAGGAAAATCTGTGCATCGATTTTCGAGTCCATAAATTACAAACATACAAACATTTCCCCTTTTATAGATATAGATGTGTGCAACTACAGTCGGCCAACAGTTTGCCTTATCAATGCGCGATCATGTAGGCGTGCTTATCACCAAATTGATTTCAAAGCAATAAAGGTAATTTCATAAAAGCGCACGACATTATGGAAATTGATTACGATTCTTTCGTGCAATCTCAGCGATTATTGTTAGAATACAGTCTACAATCAATAACTGCGATTAATTACGTATTAAATTACTTACCCACATCGCTACATTTTGCTAATTCTTCATAGCTTGCAAAATGTTTAGGCATCTCATGCTTCTTTGCAAATTCTTCAGCTCTCTGCTTATCGCGTGCCGCCACTGCAACCATTTGATGTTCATCCGATGGTAATGTGGACAGTGCTACACAGAAATCATGGCTAATTTTGCCGGCAGAAACAATACCCCAACGTAAAGGACTAGGCATTTTTTCCCTGATTGGTAAGTATGAAGAAGGACAAATTAGTAATAAACGTCCGCCACGGTGAGTTACTCTGGAAAACTAAAGTAGTAAAACTATTTCATTAGTTAGTTCTTGAATTGCTGCTTGTTAATATTTGTTATAGATAAGCTGCCACTAGGAACTTAATTAAACAAGCAATACGGTTGTTCTGACCGGCTGTTAGTTTATTTTTGTTGTTGTTTATAACTGCACACACAAACACTTAATAATGACCATGTATGTATTGTTTGAGTACCTGTAATTGAAACTATTCCTGATTGCGCAATAAAATATTTAGTTTGTACCTAAAAAATGTGCACCTTACCCACTTTTAATTTGTATTTTTCAGTTTCACGATTAATAGTTTTTGTTTATTCATGTAATTGTTTGCGTTATCTCAATACTTACGCGGAATGAATTGCAATATATCGAAACAAAACACCGGCTGCAATTGATGCAGATGCACTTGCACGGTCAGAATAGAAATCAACGTAAACAACAACAATAGTATTGGTCGTTTTTACATATAAAACTGACTGGCCTTTACAAAATAAAATCGTTCATTGTGAAACAAGCCGTTGTTACATATAGAGCTTTTTCGAATAGTTTTCGTGAGGCCTGTTTACATATAATTAATCCAGTGGATTTATATGTCAATTACACTGCACATACGCCGAATCATGGTAGAAATAAGAATGCAAAGTCATGCAATCATATATTAAATTTTTTTCCAAAATTATTCATTTGACAACATCTCATTGTCAAAATTTATATTTATAAAAACATTCTTCGAAGACGTCGCGGGCCAAACAGTTACTGTGAATTTTGAGTGGTAAAAAGCAATGATCAACGACTTCTTTTTGCCGCAACTTGATGAGTTAGGATTGGAAAACGTGTGGTTCGAGCAGAACGGTACACACTGCACGTGCCACAGTCAATATGTTGAAGGAAGCATTTCCCCTGCGCGAAATTTCACGTTATGGCGATTTACACTAGCCAGCAAGATCGCCTGATTTGACCGCTCTAGACTTGTTTTTTTTTGGGCTTTTTGGAGTCGCGGGTTTATGTCAACAAGCCTCAGATTCTTTCAGCTCTTAAAGACAATATCCTTTAAGAATGTGAGGACCTATCGCCAAAAGTTTTGACCAAAGTGATGGAAAATGCCCTAAAAAGGATTCAAATTACAATAAACTATGGCGTCGGTCATTAAAAAAATTAGAAGACAAAACAAAAGTTGCAGACTTTATAATCCTATACTAATAACGCTATATCCTAAAACTACTTTGTTTCATTAAGAAAATGTCAGCAGATGACATATGCAAGAAAATTCCTATATGTACCTAAACCTTTACCCCCTAAAAGAACATAAAGTTTCCGAGTATAACAATTTAAGGTAATACGAAAACTTTGCTTGTTTACAAACGGAACTGGCGGTGCTTCTCTCCTTCAAAAAGTTTTACGCAATTTTCGCACACATTCTACGAAATTACCATGATTTCCAAAGTAATGTTGCCTTTGATACTTCTCATTTTATACATTCACTTTAAACTTACCAGCCTCGATTCCAATACCAAGGACTTTGTCTTTGCCATGGTACAATAAAAAGGTAAGGTAGAGCTACCAGCTGATTACAATTTTTTTCTAAGTGTGCCCGGCTCCTGCCAATTTTGTGTCTGTATTTGTTGTTTTAAAAAATAAAAACGAAATATTTTCAGAATCAATGATTGAAAGAAACTTAAATTGCGGGGCGCACATTAATAATATTAACCAGATTTGTCATTGAATTGAAAGATTGAACACTTAGGATCATATTTTTGAGAGAACATCCACGCATTTCATTCAACTTTCGCGGTATTTGACTCACTTTGAAAATGAACAAAAATATCAAATAAATGAAAATAACTTTTTGCCTATAATTTTGAATAATTCTGACAGAAAGCGGACACTGCCTTAGGGCTGTATTTCTGTAGTTTTACGAAACTATTCTACCTCATTATTGTACCATGGTCTTTGCGCGCAAGTTTTAACAAGAAAATTATTTTCTTTCTTATTAGAACAGTAAAAAAGATATACCCATTACAACTTCGCAACTCACGCTTTTCATATAGGTAGTACTTGGAAAGTAACATATGTTTTATGTAAAGTCGGCCTCTTAATTGAATAACCAAATGTAAACATTCGACACTTTTTAAAACCCTGCAAGGGATTCAGGTTTTCGATCTGGTGAACTCTGTAAACTCCAGCTAATTTCGACCTGCTAAGCCCTGAGTGCCTTCTTTTTCGATCAGTTGGTCCCTTTTAATTTCTAGGATTTGTGGGATTTCTGGATCCAAATCATTTCGTTTATTTAATTGTTAAATATGATAAGAAAAGTTATAATTCAAATACATCGAAGCATTGCACGACCGCTGGCAAGTAATATAAACATTTAAAAGCTCAACAATAGTAAATATGACTCTAGTTGTTTTACAGATCAGCCAACAAGTACGTTGTTTTGCCAAAGCGGGAACAGGTGGAGTGGAATCGATAGAACCCACATCTGCTGATTATGAACTTCAAAAGGAGCACATTGCAGAGGCTGTCAAAGCACAGCCTCTTCTATCATCCGTTTCACCACAGTTATGGCAAAAGGCACATGAAACATTTGCTAATCATGGCTTAAACACAAACAGTTTCCTGCAAATTGTTACCGGGAATCCGAAAGTTTTAATGCGCTCACCACAGAAAATCATCGAGACATTGGAGCACTGGCGCTCCTGTCAATTTGGGGAGTTTTTCCTCTTTCAACTTATTACCAAATATCCTGCCCTTATGGATGTTAGTGACAAACGTAGATTGTTGAAACAGATTACATTTTTGCAAGGCTATGTGGGTTCAAGTAAAAATGTTTGGAAACTATTAATGAATTGTCCAACACTTATCGAACAATCTACAGAGACAATTGAAGCCAAAATTGTTTATATGAAAGAAGTAATGCGTCTTGAAATACCAGAAATTATTAAATCGGAGGCACTGTCTAAGTCTTTGGACGAGATTAAATGCAGACATGTGTTTTTGGAACGTTTGGCTCTTTTCAAACCCCGCTCGCCTAAAGCAGATCCCAATGAACCAAGTAAAAACCCGCGTTTATATAAAATTACCGATACATCGGATAAGTCTTTTGCGAATAAAGTTTGCCATGTTTCTCATGCAGAGTTTGAGGCATTCAAAGAGCTATTTGCCCGCGAATTGGAGAGACAGCGAAAGGAAGAGGAAGAAGATGATGCTGACGATGAGGATTATGATGACGATTACAATACAATTGATGTACAAGTGAAATAAATGAATACAATGTGTGACATGATTGGCGTTCTTCTTCATTTGTATCAATAGTAGTAGTGACATAACAGACTGAATAAGAATAAATGCCCAGACCAAACGACTGTAGCTAGAATCTTGAAATTTTGACTAGGGCCAGTCTTGGTGCATAAGCATATGACAATCCTGGGTTTTTGGAAATTCGTACTAAAAGGGTAAATGTACTGGAAATGAAATACTTTGTATTGGACAAACGGAATGAGCTAGAATTTTGAAATTTGGATGGAGTGCAGGATAGATGCAACAAAGATTTTTTGGAAATTCAAACTATAAAGTTACGAAAAGTTTTAAAATGGTTCGTAACTTCTAAAATGGTATTATGTGAACGGATAGAGCTTAAAACTTGAAATTTGGTATGAGAATCAAGGTTGGAAAGTACGTTTGATATATGAAAGTGGTCTTAGAAATGTGTTCTAAGTATTTGAACTGTACTAAATGATACTAAATTTGGAACAGTTTGGTTTAGGGTGAACGGATGAATATAGAATTCAGAAATGTTGTATTGAGGTCCTGGTTTGTCATAAAGTGGTAGTTTTCGAAATGTGTACTAGAAGTTCGCGAAAGAACTAAAAAATACTATATTTAGTAATTTCTATATTTCTCCGAAAAGTACAAAAAGTTACAAAACTGTATTGGGTGAAGGAATAAGGCTGGAATCCTCAAATTTGATATTGAGTTCTTTGTTGGTATCTAGAATTGAGATATGGAGGTGGCTTTAGAAATGTGTACCATAATTATTCGATAAGTACCAAGTGGTACTAAATTGGGTGGGGGGATAGAGCTGAAATCGTAATTTTTATATTTTGATAACTGTTAGTGTCTAGAATTGAGACATGGAAAGGTATTGCAAATGAGGACAAACATTATACAAAAAGTATTTAAGGTTACTAAATTTGGTATTGACTGAAGATATAGAGCTGGAATCTCGAAATTTAATATAGATGTCACTATTGGCATCTGGTGGTGATTTTGCAAATGAGTACGATAATTGTTGTCTAGGATCGTGTTGGATATGCGTACTCAATGTTACTAAATTTGATATTGGGTGAGGGATATTTCTGGAATTCTCAAATTTGATGTCACTGTTGTTTTCTATGGTTAGGACATGGCTGTGGTTTCAGACATGTGTACTATAATTATAAGAAAAGTACTGAATGTTTCTAAATTTGGTATTGATTTGACATCCAAATCTCTGTTGGTATCTGGTGGCGGTTTGGCAAATGCTTACTATAATTGTTCAAAAGTACTAAATGGTACTAATTTTGGATTCCTGTTGGTGTCTAGGATGGAGAGATGTTACTAGATTTGGTATTGTTTGAAGGAATAGAGCTGAAATTCTTAATTTTCATATTGAGGTCACGAAGAGAAGAGTTTGAAGACTTTTTGGTGTAAAAGATAAAGATTTTCCCATTATTCTTTTCGAAAAAGGAAAAACTGAGACAATATATTAAACCTTGAAAGTCTAAAAATTTAGTACGATGCATAAAGTTTTGATTAACAAATGTTGTCAAACTAAACCAGTAAAGAAAGTCTTAAAGTCGGGCGGCGCCGACTTTATGATACCCTACACCACTTTGCTAATTAAGTAGAGCTCCACATAACAATTAAAAGTTTCTATGGGAGAATTCAATCATACACGCTATGATTATAATTATAATTTAAAGTTCAAAGGACTAAATTCGGAATTGTATTGCCCATTTGGTGCACAATTAATTTGAAATCGGATAAAGATATATATGGGAGTTATATCCAAATCTGAACCGATCTCGATAAACTTTGGCAACGATATTTCTGAGCTGTATTTGATATATTTCCCTGAATATCGTTGTTACAGAGTGCATATTACGGTTGTGGGTACCAAATATAACAAATCGGATGAATAATATATATGGAAGCTATAACTATATCTGAACCGATCTGAACCAAATTTGACATACTAGCTACTAGACTCAATTCGGTCGTAAGTGCCAAATTCCATCCCATTTGGACAAATATTAGACGTTTGGTGCACAATAAAAGGTAAATCGGACGATGTTATATATGGGAGCTATATCCAAATCTGAACCGATCTCGATAAAATTTAGCAAATGTATTTCTGAGCTGTATTTGATATATTTCCCCAAATATTGTTGTTGCATAGTGCATATTACGGGGGCGGTGGACAAAAATAACAAATCGGATGAACAATATATATGGGAGCTATAGCTATATCTGAACCGATTTCGATCAAATTTGGCATACATATTTTCAGGCCTAATATGGGTGTATGTGCAAAATTCCATACAATTCGGGCTGATATTACACGTTTGGTGCACAATAAAAGTCAAATCGGACGAAGATATATATGGGAGCTATATCCAAATTTTGACCGATTATCTCCAATTTCAATAGGGTTCGTCCTTAGGCCAAACAAAAGACCTTTGCAAAATTTCTGGATCGGGCAATAAATGCGATCTGTACTTTGTTTACAAAAATACATGGACAGACGGACGGACGGACGGACATGTATAAATCGACTCAGAATGTGATTCTATGCAGATCATCAAAAGGAACTATGGGTCTATCTCGTTTCCTTCTGCCTGTTACAAACAAATGCACAATGACATAATACCCTGACCACCTTGTGGTGTAGGGTATAAAAATGGACATTTTGAAAACTAAAAAAGCAATCATCAAAATACCGAAAACACCAAAACGTGGACCTGCACAGACAATTTTCTGTCATATGCTGTAGTATCCATTACGAACTTCAAATACCAAATTTGGAACATTTCCGGTGAACAATGTCGCTTAAATACAATAAGGAGGTAGAACAGCTTCATAAAAGTACAGAAATACAGCCTTGAGGCTATGTCCGCTTCCTGTCAGAATTATAGGCAACAAGTTGTTTTCATTTATTTGATATTTTTTGTTTATTTTAAAATAAGTCAAATAGCGCGAAGAATGAATGAAATGCTTGGATGTTCTATCAAAAATATGGTCCTAAGTGTCTAATTTTTCAATTCCATGGCAAATCTGGTTAATATTATTGATGCCAGCCCGGGCTTAGAAAAAAAATTTAATCATCTGATAGCTCTACCTTACCTTTTTATTGTACCATGCTTCATACTATGGTGGAAGGTATAAAAAGGCTCAACGCGACTGTTGGAACGAATCTAAAATTGTAAGGTAGACAAACATTTTTATACCCTACACCACATAGTGGTAAGGGTATTATGTCTTTGTGCATTTGTTTGTAACATGGAGAAGGAAACGAGATAGACCCATAGTTACTTTTGAGAACCTTCATAGAATCACTTTCTGAGTCGATTTATGCATGTCAGTCCGTCTGTCCGTCCGTCCGTCCGTCTGTCCATGTATTCTTGTGAACAAAATGCAGGTCGCATTTATTATCCGATTGAGATGAAATTTTCCAAACATAAGTTTTTTGGCCCAAGGACGAACCCTATTGAAATTGGTGAGAATCGGATCAAATTTAGATATAGCTCCCATATATATCTTCATCCGATTTCGGGTTAAATGTGCACCAAATATCCACTATCAGTCCAAATTACCTGAATTTTGGCACACCCAACCGAGTTCGGCCTAGAAGCAAGTATATCAAATTTGGAGAAAATCGGTTCAGATATAGCTATAGCTCCTATATATATCTTTCATCCGATTTGATCTTTAAGTCCCTCACATTCCTACTATGCACTTCACAACCGTGATATTTGGTACCAGGTATTAGATGGAGCACAGAAATAGCTGTTTTAAATTTTATCGAAATCGGTTCAGATTTGGATATAGCTCCCATATATATCTTCATCCGATTTCGGGTTAATTGACCACCAAATGGCCAATATCAGCCCAAATGGCCCAAATTTTGGCACATGTGACCGAGATTAGCCTTAAAGCAAATACAACAAATTTGGAGAAAATCGGTTCAGAAACAGCTATAGCTCCCATATATATATTCATCCGATTTCGGGTTAAATGTGCACCAAATGTCCACTATCAGTCCAAATTACCTGAATTTTGGCACACCCAACCGAGTTCAGCCTAGAAGCAAGTATATCAAATTTGGAGAAAATCGGTTCAGATATAGCTATAGCTCCCATATATATCTTTCATCCGATTTGGTGTTTAAGCCTCTCACATTCGTAATATGCACTCCACAAGAATGATATTTGGTACCAGATATAAGATACAGCCCAGAAATAGCTGTTTGTAATTTTATCGAAATCGGTTCAGATTTGGATATAGCTCCCATATATATCTTCATCCGATTTCGGGTTAATTGTGCACCAAATGGCCGATATAAGTCCAAATGGACTGAATTTTAGTACATCGGACCAAATTCAGCCTAGAAGCAAGTATATCAAATTTAGTGAAAATCGGTTCAGATATAGATATAGCAACCATATACACGTTTCATCCGATTTAGAGTTTTAGTCCCACACATTCGTAATATTCACTCCACAACCGTGATATTTGGTACCAGGTATTAGATGGAGCACAGGAATAGCTGTTTTAAATTTTATCGAAATCGGTTCAGATTTGGATATAGCTCTCATATATATCTTCATCCGATTTCGGGTTAAATGTGCACTAAATGGTCAATATCAGCCCAAATCACCAGTCTAGTAGCTAATACGTAAAATTTGGAGAAACCCGGTTCAGAGATAGCTATAGTTCGTAAAATGCACGATAGAATTAGATAGATTTTGATTTTGTACCAAATATCTCATAGAGTTCTGAAATGCCCTGTATAAACCTTTTTACGAGAGCTCTACTAAATATGCATAGTGGTGTAGGGTATCATATAGTCGGCCCCGCCCGACTTTTGAGCTTTCCTTACTGGTTTTAGACTGAATGTGATTACAAAATCAAGAACAAAAGACCTAAGACACAAACATGCAAAATTTAAACATAAGAAAGTTATGTCAATTTACAGGTCAAATAACTTAAATTAACATTTTTGTAATGTACCACCCTTAAGAATTT